ACTTGATTTGGCATCGTAATTAATGTAGCGTTGCACCACATTAAGTGTCAGCATTTTTAGGAGTGATGTGTAGGCAGTGGACCAGTAGTTTGTTATGCTATTTCGTCTTAAAGAAGGTTTGCATTGCGACACTTAACCCGTTGAAAACGAAGAAGACAAATAATTATCTGCATTTTGAGAAGAGGGTGGGCGGATGGCAAAATTAAAGTGGCAGTGAAGGGTTGAAGGGGAGGGGACGGTATGGGGAGGTTAGGGAGCTTGAATGAGACAACTGATATGCGCGTGACACAATAGGTGGAGGGAGAGAACGCTTTAAATGCGAGTACAGGAGGCAAAGACAGCGGAGGTTTAGTGAAAGGTGTTACGGCGCAGCACCTAGGAGTTGAGATAGAGAGTGGAGGTGGCGGGAGATGCTCTAGGTGGTGGAGGCGGCTGCACGAGACCAGGTGTTGCCTGCAGCAACGAAGAGGGAGGCGGCGGCGGAGGCGCCTGATGCTTCTGTCCATGTGAGGGCATTAGCCCCGAGGCTACCGCTTGCTCACCCCCGTCTTCTGAGCTCGAACCGCTTGAACTACTCCTATTGTCGCCACCGCCTGTCTTATGAGTGGGTGATGTGGGTTGCTGTTGTTGCACACCGCCGGTGGGGTCGAGGTTTTGCGGGCCCCTGAAACTGGAAGTGGCGGTGGGAAGGAAGGGGCTCAAGCTGGTGCCGCCGCCACCGTTGAGATCAATTTTGTCCGTTGTGGAAAGCGTGTTCTCTGTAGCGCTTTCACATGAGCTGCTGCTGCTACTGCTTCCCGAGGACATCACTACATAGGAAAGTATCATGCTTAGTCCTGAATGACCCACCTCTAATCGCACTGTTGGACAAGGTACTTGATCAAGAAGGTACTACTAAAAAATCGTGCATTGCCGAAAGCACCCTTTGAATTGAGAGGATTTAACAGCTTGTAACCCATTCAGAATGGTCTGCACCTTCACTGTGTACTTACTTGTATGTGGTCCAGCTGT